ATTTCAGAGGTAAAGTTTGAAATGTATAAATTTCGAGATATATTCCCAGACTACAGAAAATTTTCTGTTAAATGTTTTTCACCTAATCCACAAATTAAATTGAAGATAGTATTTAAAATAAGGATTATTTTAAAGCATCAATTTCAAGTATTAATTGAAATAAATTGAAAAATCAAACTAAGTGAACACTTCCATGTAAACTAACTTCTTTTTAATCTCTTTGGTTCTAAATAAGATTGATGAGAAAAGTTAATATTACCATATTACCTGAGGTCACTGTGAAACTTAAGATATCTTAACAACAGAGAAGGCCGTCATTCTACTGAAAATTAACTTCATTCTGAAAGAGAGGTCACATTAAAATAACTGAATTCCACAAAGACACCTATCTGGTCACACAAATAACGTTTGCCTCACTTAATTGTCTTTTTATTTAGGTTTACAAAAACTAAAAAAAAAATAGTGTTTTAGCAGGCAATGAGCATTTCACTGTGGAGTTGAAATAATTTCTTTTATTAGCAGCATTTTTGAAATTCATAATCAAAAAAAGGAAGTTGATTTACTTAAAACTCATCTTACTTGTATAACATAGAACTTAAGAAAATACTTTGTAGACCCCTGGTCAATATAATAAATATTTTTTCATAACAATATTACCAAAGTATTGTCATTTGTTTAATATTCTCCATCATACAACAGTTGTCCCTTAGGAATATCAACTGGAAATCTGGTTCATCCAGTAAACCAAAATGGATCTACCAGTATAAAATTAATCAATAAAAACAGCTGTGGTATATTTTAATGTTTCCCCTTTTCCCTTGGCTTCTAGAAAGGTCAGAGCAGTTTAAAGACAAACATTTAGTTTATTCACTCAATAGATGGCATCACTTGAAGCTTAAGAAGCTGCACATGCGTATTATAGACAATGGACAAGAACAAATTGAGAGGGCAAAGGCCAGGAATGTATTTCACATAGCAAGCCAAAAAACACTTGAAGACTAAAAACAAAGCAACACTAGTTACCACTAACCTTAAGAAGATAAATATCATGCATGATTTAGAAGGTAAGAAAGTGAATAAAGCTTTTGTAAATATACAAAAAGAACTCGTGGCCGGGCGCGGTGGCTCAAGCCTGTAATCCCAGCACTTTGGGAGGCCGAGGCGGGCGGATCACAAGGTCAGGAGATCGAGACCACAGTGAAACCCCGTCTCTACTAAAAATACAAAAAATTAGCCGGGCGCGGTGGCGGGCGCCTGCAGTCCTAGCTACTCAGGAGGCTGAGGCAGGAGAATGGCGTGAACCCAGGAGGCGGAGCTTGCAGTGAGCCGAGATCGCGCCACTGCACTCCAGCCTGGGCAACAGCGTGAGACTCCGTCTCAAAAAAAAAAAAAAAAAAAAAAAAAAGAACTTGTACACTGCTCAAAAGGCCTTTCTCTCGAACCTCTGCAGAAATGATGAGCGTCTCAGCAACATGATGAAAGTGAACAAAGTTAATACTGATGAAGCTTCAAGATTAACGGCTCAGTTGTAATACAGCAGTGATGCATCTAATTCCTCCAAAAGACTGTTAAGTTAAATGTTTTACACAAAAAGTGCCTCCACTCTTCCTTCTCACCATCATACTTTACTTATATTAACTTGCTTTAAAAGTTATATTCTATATCTATTTTCATGTTGGTGCTGTGAAATGTGTGTGTGTGTGTGTGTGTGTGTGTATCTGCATCCTCACATGAACACACAAGGTATAAATGAGAGGTTGGAATCAGAGATAGACCTATATGACAATATTCCTCACCTCTACATATGGCTTAAATAAATTGCTCTTTTAAATTAACTGCTCTTAACATTAAGGTTGTTATGTTAGAGGATAATGTCCTGGTGTTGCAATAAGTTTTAAAAGGTATTAAGAGCTGCAATCACAAATAACTCCCTCTAAATCCAAACTTTATCTAAAGTTATAATATCTTCATAGTGTCCTTATTCAGTATAGAAGGGTATAAGGACAGATACGTTGTTCAGACACGCCTTGAAATATATCCTCGGTGACTTTGTTTTTTCATTAAGCAAAGTCAGAAGTCAAATGTGGTCTTCAGGTTAAAGTAGTAGGAAGAATACCACAGCACCCCTGTGAGCAGGGATTCATATTATTTTTGTCGTTTTTCCTGGCATCTGTCATTGCTCCTTAACGGCCCTTCTCTCTCAAGGTTATTACAGAATATTTAATGTCTCATTTTTTAATGATTCCTTAACTCCTGAGTGGCAGAAACAGGGATACATATCTTTGATCCTGCTTCTTCTGGTATTCTTAGTTTAAAAAACAAACAAACAAGAACAAAAGCAATTTCAGACAAAACATAACAACTTAGACAGGGCTTAATTCAAATTTAGTTTTTGTTGTTGCTGTTTGTTAATTTTTTTGCCATAGAAGACATGATTTTATTCCTTGTTATTGCTAAATAGTATTCCATTGTGTGTATGTATATGTATGTGTATGTGTGTATAAATAATTTTCTTTATCCAGTCATCAATTGGTGGACACTTAGGTTGATTCCACATTTTTGTTATCATGAATAATGAATCAATAAACATACTTGTGCTGGTATCTTTTTTATATAATGATTTCTTTTCCTTTGGGTAGATATCCAGCAGTGCGATTGCTGGTTCAAATCACAGTTCTGTTTTTAGTTCTCTGAAAAATTTCCATACTATTTTCCATAGCAGTTGTACTAATTTACATTCCCATCAATGGAGTGCATGAGCATTCCATTTCTCTGCATCTTCACCAACATCTATTTTTTTTTTTGACTTTTTAATAATGACCACTCTGATTGGTATAAGATGATGCCCCATTGTGGTTTTAATTTGCATGTCTCTGATGATTTGTGATGTTGAGCATTTTTTCATACGTCGGCTGGCTATTTGTATGTCTTTTTTGAAAAATGCCTATTCATGTTGTTTGTCCACTTTTTAATTGGGTTATTTGGTTGTATTTTGAAGTTGTTGAGTTGCTTGAATTCCTTGTAAATTCTGGATTTTAGTCTGCTGTTGGATGCATAATTTGCAAATATTTTCTCCCAATCTGAAGGTTGTCTGTTCACTTTATTGATTATTTATTTTGCTGTGCAGAAGCATTTTAGGTTAATCAAGTCCTATTTGTTTATTTTTGTTTTAGTTTCTTGTACTCTGAGATCTCAATCATGAGTTGTCTTCCTAGGCCAATGTCCAGAAGAGGATATTCTTAAATTATTTCTTAATTTTTATTTCAATACTCTTTGGGGTACAGGTGGCTTTTAGTTACATTAATAAGTTCTTTAGTGGTGATTTCTTAGTTTTGGTAGACCAGTCACCCAAGCAGTGTACACTGTACTCAATATGCAGGGGACTCAGAGGGAAGGGTGAGAGGGGGATGAGAGATAAAACTGTCTACTGTTTTGTTAAGTTTTAAGTGAAGAAATGACTCTATAGGATCCTATCAATATGAATAATGTACTATTCTGCTAAGTTTATTTTGTACAGTCATATATTCAGAATTCATTAGGCCTTCATATTTTCTATCACAATGAGGACCCAAATCCAATAAAGGCAATCTCCACTGACAGTGAAGATCGGTTAATGCCATTTGTAGAGTTCAACATTTGATGTCTCAGTATAAAAGTCATGGGTTAAAGCTTTTGATCATCTCACAGCTTGGAAATATATCATACAATTGTATTATTTTGGTAGTCATTTAATATTACTAAATGATAATTATTTTTTTAAATTATTACTTTTTTTTTTTTTTTTTTGAGACAAAGTCTTATTCTGTAGCCCAGGCTGGAGTGAAGTGGTGTGATCTCAGCTTAATGCAATGTCTGCCTCCCAGGTTCAAGCGATTATCCTGCCTCAGACGTCAGAGCAGGTGGCATTACAGGCACGTGCCACTGCACCTGGCTAATTTTTTGTATTTTTAGTAGAGACAGGGTTTCAGCATGTTGGCCAGGCTGGTCTTGAATTCCTGACCTCAGGTAATCCACCTGCCTCGGCCTCCCAAAGTGTGCTAGGATTACAGGCATGAGGCACCACGCCTGGCTTTTTTTTTTTTTTTTTTTTTTTTACCTCACCTTTAGTGTTGACTCATACTTTAGGGTTGTTGTGCAATTAGGAAATTGTGATTGCAAATCCAGGTAGACCACCATGACTTGAAACAGAACAATGCTTACTTAGTGTAGTAATTTCATTAATGGAACTGTTAGATTCCTTGTACTGCATGTCTCAGCTGTGCTTTTCTCTGCCTAATTCAAGACAGATTTGTTAATCAAAAACGTGGAGAAGTAGAAATAATTGAGGGGTATGCTCTAAAGAGAATGCATAGCCCTAGTTTGTCTCTAGGGCTTAGATTTCATGCTGGTTGATGTCTTCCTAATACCTAAGTAGTGTAACATGTACTAAAACTTAGTGCTGACCTCAATGTGACCTAAAATGGTTTACATTTAGTTAGTTCAGTTGTGGATATAACTATATATGATTTTTGTATTTGAAGATGCTGGAGATTACATAAACAAATCATATTATTATCTTAAACTATTTTCAAATGATAGCAAAAGTCTAATTTGAACACTACCATGACATTTTATTGTGCTAATTCTACTGTTATAAGTGTTTTAAATGGTGTATCTCTTAATTTATATCATAGGTATTTTTAATTTGTGAGGGGAAAGATGTATTATAGCCCATCAAACAGAAGATTAGGGACTGTTGTATATTGAGAGTGAGTGAGTCAAAGCTAAAAGATTATCATATAGGCTTTTGAAAATGAATGACAAAAGATGGTACAGAAAGAAAATATAAAGAAATAAAGAGAAGTATAAAAAGTGTGTCCCAGAAAGCTTTCTATAATCACTGGCTTTGAAAATTAGCTGTTTATGTCATATATATATATATATATAGAGAGAGAGAGAGAGAGAGAGAGAGAAATATTTCAAAAAGGTATTTACCATTTTTCCTTGTTTCCTTTTTGTAGTATGTATGCATTCCAGGGTGCACAAAAAATCCATTTTGGTTTTTGAAGAATGTTCACCTGATTCATCTACACCCCTGCTACTATGGAATCACCTTCCATGGTATTTGCCAAGATAAAGGTCCTGCTCATTTTGAATATGTGTGGCAATTGGGATTTACAGGTAACAAATTTATGTAATTTTTTAAAAATCTGCTTGAATTATTTCAAAATTTACTAGTCAAGTATTCACTTTCTAAACACACAAGGTATTTTATATCTCAAAACACAATATAAAATAAAAATAAAATAAATACTCTTATTTTCCGATGTATTCCTTTAACTGACGTGTTTAACACCAACTACATCCTAGGAAATCTACTTGGTGCAAGATCCATAATAGTGAAGTAAACTAGAGCTATTTCCTACTTTCATAAATCCATTTGTTGGAAGGGAGTGGTTAGTGGACAAATACAGTGATAACTATGTTATTTTATTTAAAATCAAAATGCTCTTAAGAAAACAAGTAGCATTCCATGAATGCTTATAAGCAATTAGCCTGTTTAGGAAAAAAAACAAAACAAAACAAAAAACAAAAAACTGGGCAATTGAGAGATTGAGTTGCGTTGTCAGAAAAGGTTTCCCTAAGAAAATGACCCCTGAAGAGAGATATAGAGAATAATGTCATGGCAGAGAAGCTGGAAAAGAGAGGATTCTAGGTTGAGGGAATTGTATTTGTAAAGACATTATATTAGAAGAAGTGGCGTCTTTGAAGCCCTGTCTGGGGCTGTGAGAAAAGACTAATAACAATTCCATGGAGGGAATAAAGCCAGAACTAAAATGCTGGGTTAAATATTTTGATTTCTATTCTAAAAGGAATAGAAAATTACTATAGCTTTTGACGCATTCGATAATTTTATAGCAAGTAGAGAAATACATGGAAGAGAAGAAAAAAAGCTAGGGAGTTGGTTGGAGTAATAATGTGAGTCATAATGCTGGAAGCTTGAAATAAATGGAAGATCTTGTTTATGAATTGGAAATAGCAAGTGTGAAGGTGTCAACAGGACACCTTCAAGTCTTACATACTTGAAATGAAATCATTTCAATACTTATATTCACATGTATGTTTTTGTTTTATAGAATTTCAATTTCTATCTCAATTTTTTTGATGAACATAATTTTCATTCTTTGATTACATGTTTAATAGTATTTAACTTAGGTGATGCAAATTAGATTTACATTCTTAAGACTATATGATATTTTCGTTCTTTTAAAGAATATTTCCTCTGGCAATGATATTTTGGCACTTCAATTTACAAACAACCAGCAAATTAATAGTTTGATGTTTCGAGTAACAGCTAACCGACAGCAGCTGAATTTCTAACATTGCATTACAACACAACAGTGTTGAAGTAAACTAACAATTAGCCTTTTAAACAGAAAACACGATTATTTGTTTCACCATGCTCATAAAATAGTACACTGTAGTGTTAACAACCTTTAGTGACAGAAATAGTTATCAGTTCATTAATCAGATCACACTGAAGACCAAAAGTGGTAGAAGAGAGCAAAGCATTGTTGATAATACTATGTTGATGGTAAAAGGAACTTTCAGAGACTCTGTTATGTATAGTTACTATTTTATAAATGACACAATGAGACAAAACAAAGAAATAAAAATAGTTGAGGTTAGAGGAATTAACTTCAGGACTATTTAGGGATTGTGTCAGTTCAGTTGTTTTTAAACCCTGACCACATATTAGAATCATCTGAGGAGCTTTTGAAACATACTAATGGTGAACTCCCACTATAGAACAATCAAACTGGAATTGTAGTGAGATGGACACAGAGTATTTTTTGAGGATCCCTAAATGCTTTTCATGTGCACATTGAGAAATGCTATCTACTGTTACAACCAAATTTGTTCACATACTGCAGTGCCTGCACCATTTTTGAACTTGATTTTCCTTTGTCTCATAGTAGGAATAATGCTTTCATCTGTTTGGTTATTTTTAAATATTAAACTTCTTTTGAGAACAAAAAATTGCGACAGAGAACATATTCACAATGATGAAATAGCAAAAGTATTTTTGAGGGAAAATGGAATGAATAATAGCAAGTCAAATTGCTCATGGATAAATCAGCTTTGAGCAAATATAGTCAACTTTATTAATGGCAGTACAATAACAAATGTATGTTTTAGAAAATGGGTGTTGTAATACAAAGTTAAAATTACTCATGGATAACTTAGCAAATAGCAATTATCTTCAAAACAATGTATACATATTTCATCATTATTTCTTCCTGAATTACGGGACAGAGCTTACTGAATATAGCTAATTATATCAAAAATAAAAATTTTGCGACCCCTACATGTGAGAATCTAAATGAGTTGGGCTGTCCAATGGAAAAGAAGCAGTGTGATAATGCACAGGCTGAATGAATGTTTAAGTAAAACACTTAAACTTATTTTGAATTTCAATATGAAGATTCAGCAGTGAAACTTCTCAAGTTTTCAAAACAAAATAGAAGTTAAAATAAATGAAAATAAATATGTAAATAGAATTATACATTTTATGTATTGCAAAATTCCATCTTGTTTATTTTGGTAATTGCCATTAAGATCTTTTTTACTTTTTTTCTCATAAAATATAAAATATAATTGAAGAGGAACTTTAAAATTATGCTGGTGAGTTTGCATGGGGTGCATTAATTTTACCAGCAGGAAAATTATTTTAATTAAGGGATTTCTCTAACAACTAAACGAAGTGTCTTACATGCCCAATCAATTCTTGCCAATATGATTGCTCTACAGAGAAGGGATGGTAATTAATTAGAAGAAGACCCTTCAAGGACAATTGGTCGACAGTGCACATCTTGAGAAAGAGCTGACATGCACTGTTTCTTTTCGAAATCATCATCTATGTTCATTATGTGTATTATTAGATTTGAGGAAAAGAGCTGCTGACAGAGTGGATAAAGAGTTGTGAAGTGAAGTAAGACAATATGAATAATGCTTAAGAAAAGACACAATTCTAGCTAAAAAAAAGAAAATAAGACAGAAATTCTTTTAAATCTCTTTCTTCTTGAAGCATGTCCTTATTTCAGTGTGCTTATCTAAGATAAACATACAGAGTTAAAACACTTAACATGTACTAGTAAACTTTTTTCTAAACAAATAGTAATTGTTGCATTTGCAAGTTGATATTGCAAAAAAAATTTACTTTGAAAGTTTTATATTTCCCTTACAAAATAATGGATCTTCTTGTAGAAGACCTTCCAGTATGTTAATTATAATCTATGCATTATACATTACTTTTTAAATTTTAAGCAATTTTTGTGAAAATAGGAAGTGCTATACCAACAAAGCAATCCTTATCAAAATCCATTTTTTCTTTGTATATTGTTCTACCTTCAAGTCTTCTTTTGTCAAATGTCTGCTATTTATATATATATTAAGTATTTTAGGGACTTTAGTTTTAATTTTTGGTTTTAATCTTTAATTGAAGATTTTTTAAAAAGCTGAGTATTAAAAAGAGTGGTTTAGTGCTTTTCATTCATATCACTTATAGAAAGTTTTTAAAGCATTTTTACATGCTTTGAAAGAGAATTCTCTTAATTAAATCGTTAGTTAGAAATAAGTAACTTTCATAAACAGAACAAAGCTAATTAAATCATAAGGAAGAAAATATTTCTTACAAACAAGAATTAAAATGTTTAAATGCATAGTACTAAAATTAACAAAAACTTGCAACCTCTACATGGAGAAAACTTTTGATATTGCTGTAGTATAGGTGCATGCATACATAATCTGAAAGAAAATCCTAAAGATATATTATGCTGTAGCTACTATTATTCTTAATAGTTTTTTCTTTTAACCTTCATACTAATTATATTAGTAATATACACACTACCATGCAGTATTTGAATATTCTGAATTTTACAATGTGTTTACTTTTGCCAGTGAGTTTTATAATTTCAAAAGTGTTCTTACCACAAACATGATAACTATACAAGGTAATGCATATGTTAATTAGCTAGATTTGGTCATTCTGCAATGTATATATACTTCAAAATATCATGTTGTATATGGTAAATACATACAATTTCATCTGTAAATTTAAAATAATAATAACCTTCCCCCTAAAAAACTTTTATTATACTGGAGATACAACTTTTAAAGATTTCAACTCTTCATATTATGTTATAGGTTTATTGAAATTTTAACAAAAAAATGATGTTATCTTTGTTTCATATGAAATTGACATCTTATTTCTTAATGTTCACATGGAAATAAAGACGAATAAAGTCAAGTGTACTCTGCAAAAGCACATCGTGTGGACAAGTGGGGTATAGAATGAGCTCTGCCATGTATTAAAGTCGATTACATAGCTTCATTAATGAAAAGCATCGCACCACTGCATTGGTAGTCAAATATGACAAAATACAAAGTCTCAAAATGAATCCAAGACATTAAAAAATATATAACATATAATAAAACTGCCCCCTCAGATTATTAGAATAAGTAGGCACTATTTAATAATTAACATGGAACAAATGGATAGCCATCTGAAAAAAAAAAATCAACTTGTATATACCTTTAAACATTCTCTGGATTACACTGAAATAGATGAAAGTTTTAACATATAAAACAGAAAGTATAAAAATATTAGAGAATGTTGGAGAAATGCTTTGTAAATCTGGATGGGGGAAGAATGAAACTAATCCATATCTCCCATGGTACACAAAAAGCAAATCGAAATGAATTAAAGACTTACATCTAAGACCTCAAACTATGAAACTACTAAAAGAAAACATTGGGGAAACTCTCCAGCATATTGGACTAGGCAAAGATTTCTTGAGTAAAACCCCAGAAGCACCAGTAATCAAACCAAAAATAGACAAATGAGCTCACGCCAAGTTAAAATGCTTCTGTAGAGGAAAGGAAACAACCAACAAAGACAAAACTCACAGAAAGGGAGATCATATTTGCAGACTATCTATCTGACAAGGGATTAATAATGAGGATACAAAAGGAGCTCAAATAACTTTACAGGAATAAAATAATAATATGAATTTTAGAAATGGGAAAAAGATCTAAATAGATGTTTCTCAAAAGAAGACATGCAAATAGCAAACAGGCATATGAAAATGTGCTCAATATTATTGATCATCAGAGAAATG